AGAGCGGCTTACATCGTGAAATTAATTTAAAACCGTTATCTCTAGTTAATAGAGAAAAGTTTTAATTAACTACACACTTATTTACTTTTTACCAAATAACCACTCTGCCAAAATAAAGTTTAACTTTTTTATTTATTCTGTACATGAGCATTTTTAAGCATTAGGTTTATATAAATTTTAAATTTAAATGTCGAAAATTTGTAAAATTTTTAAAAACTTATCAAGATCTTGTCAAGTTTTTTTTTAATTTTGAACTACTGTGTGAATTTGTCCTACCATTTTTTAAATTTATAATATTTTTTACCTCCAAAACCGTTTAATTCTGAGAATTTTGGCGGTATTAAATGCATCTCTAATTGCCTGACATTGTTCATAAAGATATGTATATAACGTTCGACAATAACTCAAATCGCACATTGTTACAGAATAGATGTATGGGTGCATACATGAATGGCGCGTTTACCTACCTAGAAGCAGCCAGAGACACATCAAACAAAATCCAATATGTCACGCATGCCTCACCTACACTATCATGCGGTCGTTCAGGATAAACCAATTACTTGCAAATTGTTAACCGTCATCCTACATCTACTTTTACCCCCGATGGATGTTGAACCTTACTGTGCGCTATATTTACCCTGTATATTTTATGTTTATCTTGTAGTAAATTAAATTACCTTTCAAATGAGGTGTTACATGATACACTTTGTCCAAAAAATAAGGGAGATAGGCGCCTTTTCCAAAATATCCATGCACACTAGATTAAACGCTATTTAATTCATTTATAGCTTCATTTTTAAGCAAATTGCGACATATTATACATTATTTAAAAGAGAATTTCAAATCGCATCCAGTAAAGTACTTATTTATATACAGGGTCATCCATAAAAACTTCAAACGATTAAGCTTTAAGAGGGCTGACCTGGATGGGTCATGCATTAATTAAACGTCGGTTATCTGCAAGATTCCAATTGCGGGCAAAAGGCCGCAAATATCAATTAAGGATGCAGTAGGAGCCGGCTCATAACTCACATTACTGTTTCACTTGAGCTCTAAGATTCTCTCCCTGTTATGTGCGCTCTTATCCGTTCTCTGCTTTGCTCTACTGCATGCAAGCCGCTATTAGAAAAACCGTTATGTGTGGTGCATGGCTATTTGCAGATTTAAATGAAATAGTTTATGTAAAGTAATTTAGTTTAGAATGAAAAAATCATAAAAATTATATCTTTAAAACTTAACGATTTGAAACTATCTTGTAATTGTCTGAAATGTCTTAAAACGATTCAAACGGTTTAAGAAACATTTCAACTATCAAAAATTTTACTAAAACATCTTAAACATTCATGGGAGGGTTCAATCTGGATAAATAATCCCAGACGTGTTCAATGGGATTCATGTACAAAGAAAGAGGTGGCCAATCCATTCTGTCAATTTTACTCTCTTGCAAAAACTCTGGGATAGCTCTAGTTCGATGTAGATGGGCATTGTCATCCATAAAGATGAAATTGGGACCTGTACCACCTAAGGTACCTTTTTTATTAAATTTTCAGTGTCTTATTGGGACAAAAACCTACGATTTGTCAAAGTAATCAGATCATTTTTATTTACAGAATAAACTTTTTTTACTGCTAATAAAATTCTCATTTACTATAATGAAGCAGCAATGTTGAGCTTTTATAAAAAAAATGTTCATCCAACAAAGTAATAGTTGTTATCATATTGCCATGTTTATATTTAATCTTTGTCGAACTTAAAATGTTTTTGTTAAATCTATAGTTGTGTGTTAATTGCGCTTACATATAGTAATGCGCAGTTGTTATAGTAAAATTTGTTCATTTTACTATGGCATATTTGTCTTTTTTAAATTACTATCGTTCTAATTCAAATTAATGTTATTTCAGTTAGAAAATCTTTGCTAATAGCCCACATTAAGAATATTTTATTGCTATAAAAAGACTTTTTTAATATTTACTATTGTTTTACAATGGTAACAAAAAGAGGGGGAAAGGGCCAGCGCTCTCCTTGGGAAACATAACTTTATAATCCACAGTCAGTGTTATAATCTTATTGATTTCACTTGTGCGAGTGAAGTGTGGTAAAATCTAGCATGATAAAAATAGCAAAAAGAGCACTAAGAAAATTAAAATTTCGACGTTTTCTAAAAGAAATATTTAAGGTCTATTCTATGAACGAAGCAGACTTGTTGTTTAAAAAGTGAGTTCATATTTTTTTTATTTTGTACATCATATAATATGAGTTAATTTTTTTGTTATAATAAATAATTTGTTTTAATGCCTTGCAATTATTTAAAAAAAACTACCCAACATCCAACAGTAGGTTGAAAATGTGACCATTGTTGCAATGAAAATAGTTTATTGAATTAACAATTAATTTGTTGTTAAATTTACATAAATTTTATTAATATTATAAAAAAAGTTTTATTTTAAACGAAAAGGGATTTGTAAAAATAATCTTTTTGCAGTAACAAAAGCAATTGTTGGACGAATCTTTATTCACAATTCAATATTTATACTACTGGGATTCAATAAATACATAAATAAATTTTTTGCTTATTTAAGCTTGTAGACTCTGCTAATAAGCATTCGCGAGCGACTTCCAAAATACAAACATCGAAATGTTAAGATGCGAAATTCGCCTTCTAAGATCAAAGCAAGCGTGGAAAAAAGCGCGGCCCTCTAATCAGCAACGTCTTCGTCGAGATTTGTTTTTCCGGTAAATGCGAGCGTTTACCTTGCGTTTTTGTTTTTTTGCGCACACGAAATCGGATATGGCAAGGAACGAGGAGAAGTAATCATAATATTTGTGCTACGTGCGAACATTGGAGAGAAAATATCAAAGAAGTCACTTTTTACAAGATTAGGTTAAAATCTTATTATTGGTAAAGAACGGAAATTTTCCAAATGAGCCTAAAATTGTTGAGTTCTATAAATAGTTACCTTAAAGTAAAATCATTAGATGACGCTGTATACAATTATAACTATCTCAGTCGGTAATAATATAGAACTACTTTATTTTGGGTCCAATATAGGACAAAAAAATTCGCACGTTACTTTGGTGGTAAGATTTTTGTTTTTTTGTTAAGAGCAGGGCTGTGTTTAAATTACAATAAAAAATATTTCCAAAAAGTGTACAGATTAGTGTGTGGTATAAATGTGTTTCTCATGGTTTAAACATTGTCACTTTAATGCTTTTTAATTTTAATTCTGAAAACAAACAGTAAAATGGCCAGTGTCCAATTACTGGTTGGTAAAAAATGAAAATTTTTATTATTGGACATATGTCCAATATCATACTCTATTTGTATCCTGGACATTTACCAGCCAATTCTTATGTAAAATTATCCCCTGAATCTGAAAAGACCGTCAAAAACTATAAAAGTTAAGCAGTTTTTGGGATTTAGTCAATTCCATATTATCTGTAAAATTGATTATATTTCAAAAACTGTCCTACTTTTATAACTTTTGACGACATTTTCGGATTCAGCGAATAATATTTCATAGGAATTGACTGCTAAATGTCCTGGATACAAATTACTGTTGACGAGAATTATTAGTGGCTGCTTTTGGCTATGACATTTTTGACTAATTCATTTTTAGACAGTAAGTAATATAGCGATTTCTTCGTCACAGGACATCTTGCAGAATAACAGTGATTTAAATACAGTGCATGATAGAGATAATAAATTCGAAAAAATATTGGATATATATAAATCATCCTGTTCCGGCCTAAACATTATAAATGCTTCACAAACTAGAGATACCACACTTAATGATATCTGCAACAAACTATTTCAGAAGTGGGACCAAGGAATTAGTAGTTACCTTCAGAATCCAGAAAAGGGATGAGGAATCCGAGAAAGAAATATATGTATTTACAAAAACGAAATAAAAAAAATTACCTAAAACAGCAATTTATCTTTAAAAAATATTTAACAATTTATGTTAATAGATGTAAAGTTGTTTTGTTTATATAAAAATTGTCCAATTACTATACTTTTTTACATGTTTTTATAAAACTATCATTTAAAATTGAAAAATCATCGAGATCAAGTCACTTTATAAAAAAAATCATTCGTTTATTAACAATGTGTGATACAAACAAAAAAATTTTTTTTATTGAATTACACGATAAAAAATAAGAATAAGAAACGAATAAAAATATCGCAATATTTTATGCGTAGGCGTACAAAAAAGTATAGGTAAAAATTGATACCAATCAAACTTGCACCATTTCGGTGATCCTTAAAGGTAACAACCGATATTTTTTCGTGTTATTCCCCCGCTAGACCATCTTATTGCTTTCCGTATATGAGTATGAGTCCTATTTCGGTGGGGGCTTAGGATTTTGTGCCTAGGATTCGAGGACAGGCCACTTTGGCCCAAATAAAATCACAGGGTCGAAATGAAACATTCTAAAGCGGAAAATTCGATGAGCGTGCCACGGCAATAAAGCTATGATTGGCGCGAACCAAAAGCGCGGGAAGAAACATTGCCGCCTTGCCAGTGGCGCACATCTATTACAATACAAAATGCACTGTGTCCCCAATACAAGACTACAAGCCTGTGTTTGGTTAAGAAATTGATGACGCGAGGTAAAACATTCGCCCAACAGACCTAAAATCGCCATAAGATGTCCCCCAACAGATTCACGGAGGATAGAATCAATTTTCGTAACACCTACATAAATGGTTAAAAAAAATATTTCTTTTAATTTTTTAATAATATTTTATATTTGATTCGATTGCTTTGGATGTGTTTAATTTACTTAGTGAACTGATATTCTTAGTATGCTTTTACTACCTCAGATATTTGAAAACATATAGGTTAAGCTAGAAAGAGTAACCGTCACGGAGGATAGGTTTTAGACTTTTAAAACATTGTTAATTTAACCAGTTGTGCTAGTTGGGTATTCTTTGCTACGCCCATGGACTTTAGAACGTTCGAACCGAACTGAACAAATTCCTTCGTTTTCTGTTTCAGATACAGATTTTCGGGTTCAACTCTCAGCTGTACTCGAACTTCTCAGAAGCGCTGCATAAAGCCCAAGGGATCGTAGTAACATCGCTTCTTTTACAGGTAAGAGAGAAATCGGAAGAGAACACTGAGGGAGAGCTTTACGAAGTGGAGGATTTTTCGCGCGATTTAATATGTTTTATTGCGATTTAAATTAAAAATCCGGGACACTTTATTACCGCTCGGGCAATTCTTCCTTCACTTAAAGTTAACGCAATTTAACGCCTCTCGAATACGACGGTCGTTTTTTGCTATTCTAACTTGCCGTTTTGCTATGTTTAAGAATTTATACAAACTCTTTCTTTATTAGTTTACTCGCAAGATGATTTATTTTTTAAATGGGTTTATAAGGTTATCTATACACTGAAAAAAATAATCTCTTAAAAGAAATAAAAATCACTTTGATTCAAAAGATTTGCTATGTTTCTTAACCCAAATCAGAAACTATATTTACATTAGATTAAAAAATTAAGTATAATTTAAATATTTTACTTTCCATAATATACTATAAATTTTTAATATTTGGATTACATGAATTGTGAAATGGTCAATAAAATTGACGCCTGAACTAATTTAGACTTACGATTGGCGTTAGCCTTGTTGTCTCGTTCTATTACAATGCGATATCATAGTTGTCTCCTTCTCTCGTATTAGCATACGCGAGGCAGGCACGCCTACATCCAAGGAAATAAGCAGGTGTTGTGGCAACACTGTTGCGGAATTTTAGATAAATTATACTTCACACGTTTTTAAAAATTCAATAATAAATGGTATTATTTTTCTTATAATAAATCGATTTAATCGAAATTATATTTCTATTCTCAAATAAACATATTTTAACACTATCGCCACCTTGTAGCCATCATAGTAACCAATAAAATAAATACAGATTCCTTCTTTAGGTTTGTTTTGGTTATAAAATTATGAACTGTTTAAAAAACAAATCTGTGGTTATTTACGCAATATTTTGTTTATTCTTTTTCTATGAGTTTGTCTATTTTATGATTCTTTTGTAAGTGGTTTATTCTGTGGGTTTAGTTCATTGAACTTGGGGATTTATGTGAATTTAGTCATTAGGGATATTACGGTGAGAAATTGGACAATTAACATTAATACTGTAAAAAGAAGAATTCTATAAATAGTTACCTTAAAGTCAAATCATTAGATGACGATGTATACAATTATAACCCTCTCAGGGTAATAATATAGAACTACTTTATTTTGGGTCCAATATAGGACAAAAAAGTTCGCACGTTACTTTGGTGGTAAGATTTTTGTTTTTTTGTTAAAAGCAGGGATGTGTTTAAATTACAACATAAAATATTTCTAAAAAGTGTACAGATCAGTGTGTGGTATAAATGGTTTAAACATTGTCACTTTAATGCGTTTTAATTTTAATTCTCAAAACAAACATTAAAATGGCCAGTGTCCAATTACTGGTTGGTAAAAAGTGTAAATTTCTATTATTGGACATATGTCCAATATCATACTCTATTTGTATCCCGGACATTTACCAGCCAATTCTTATGTAAAATTGTCCACTGAATCCGAAAAGACCGTCAACAACTATAAAAGTTAAGCGGTTTTTGAGATATAGCCAATTCCATATTACATGTAAAATTGATTATATTTCAAAAACTGTTCTAATTTTATAACTTTTGACGACATTTTCGGATAATATTTCATAGGAATTGACTGCTAAATGTCCTGGATACAAATTGCTGTTGACGAGAATTATTAGTGGCCGCTTTTTCGCAATGATTCATTTTTAGAGAGTTAATAATATAGTGATTTCTTCGTCACAGGATATCTTGCAGAATAACAGTGATTTAAATACAGTCCATGATAGAAAACAAAAAACTAATGGCAACAAAATTAATAAATTCGGAAAATACTTTTAACATACCACGCGAAAAAATATTAGATATATAAAAATCATCCTGTTCTGGCCTAAACATTGTAAATGCTTCACAAACTAGAGATACCACACTTAATGATATTTGCAACAAACTATTTCAGAAGTCAGACCAAGGAATTAGTAGTTACCTTGAGAATTCAGAAAGGGGATGAGGAATCCGAGAAAGAAATATGATGTTTACAAAAACGAAATAAAAAAAATTACCTAAAATAGCAATTTATCTTTAAAAAATATTTAACAATTTATGTTATTTGATGTAAAGTTGTTAAAAATTGTATGTCCAATAACTATGGTCCATGTGTCCAATTACTATATAAAATATCCAATTACTATATTTTTTGCGTGTGTTTGTAAAACTAATATTAAAAATTCAAATATTCTTATTTTTAAGTAAACGTAAAGTGTCCAATAACTATGTGGTTTACCCTAAATACTTATAAGAATGTTAACGCTATAATCGATCTAATTTAATTAAGCGAGATTTTGATTTGGACGGACAGGTGTTGGGTAGCATCCGTGCCAAGCAATATCTTCTACCGTATTACGAACGCATTATCGATTAAACAGTTATCGCTTAAGCGTGCTAAAACGTTTCTTATAATTACTCGCTTGTTGATAATATGACAAGACGGCGCTCCGTATCGCCATGGCCATCTCTTCGATTTATGATTTCCGCTTGTACCGTGGAAGCGTTTAAAAGAGATATTTTTTGCATGACGGCATGAAAATATAACTCAACTATTCCTTGCGTTTCTTTAAAATGAGGATTTATGTTTATTTTATGCAAACAAGTTGGTAAAAATATACTTAACGATTTTTTGTACTATGCCCCACATCCCATTTCTATAGATTATTTATTTTAAAATTATTTTAATTATATACAGGGTGTACGAAAAACGGGTGTTTCACGTTCGTGGTCCATTGAGAGTTTCTGAGGAACGGCAAAAGATATCGATTTGAAATTTTTAAAGCGTTTACAATCCAATTAAGCCTATTTTTCTAAAATATTTTAAATAAAATGCAACTTCCGGCTTGACCGGAAGTGACATCAACTTTATTATTTTAAATGGAACACCCCATATATTTCACATTTTTAAATTCTAAATAAAATTTCCAGTAAAATTCCTATACCTAGAGTATATAGTTTTGGAGTTATTATTTTTTTCCGTTAAAATATGACAAAAATAGCCTATAACTTTCTTGCTATTAGGTTTGCAGAAATGAGGGTGGAATTTTTGGAATCTTAAAACATTGTTTAAAAGATTCCATGTCAATTTCTTAACATACCGGGTGTTACATTTAAAATAAAATAGTTATTAACGTTTCAAGTTAGCCCAATTTGCCCTGGGGTTTCTCGGGTAATTTTTTGAAAAATGTTAAAGAATTGACATGGAATTTTTTAAACAATGTTTTAAGATTCCACATTTTACCCCCATATCCGTAAACCTAATAGCACATCTAGAAAACTATTCACTTTAGGTATAGGACATGGTACAGTAATTTTACTCCGAATTTTATGTTGAATTTTAAAATGTAAAAATATATGGGGGTGTTCTATTTGAAATAACAAAGTTGATGCCACTTCCGGTCAAACCGAAAGTTGCATTTTGTTCAAAATATTTAAAAAAAATAGACTTAATGGATTATAAACGCTTTTAAACTTTAAATCTATATTTTTTTCAGTTCTCCAGAAACTTCCAATGGACCACGAATGTGAAACACCCTGTATATCAAGTGGTGTGATACCACTATAGATTCGAAAGTAATGTATAATCGTCAAACTCAAAAATCAAGATTTGTTTCCAACATATACCTATTTAATATAAGATAAATACAAATCTGTTGTTTTATTTAAAAAAAATCAAAAATTAAAACCAGAAATATTTTGTTTTACTTAAAAAAATAAAATTGTTATTTTCTTTAAGTATAATTTTTGTAATATGTAAAAACATTAAATATTTGAAGATAAAAAATGATTTATAACAAAATAGAGAATTAAAAATCTGTTTAGGTTAAAATAATAAGAATGGCTGTGTAAAAAAATTAAATGACGTGATTTTGTGAAATGGGGAGACACGGGTACGTTTTTTTAACCTTTATTTTTAAAATCTGTTAAAAATTTTCATGGGAGGAAAATCGTGTGTCAGAGTTTCGAAAAGCATTTTCCGATTCAAAAAAAGACTGTTGTAAACAATTTTTAAAACACCAAAAACCTAATTATCTGGGTATTATTTTGTTTATTTTTTTGCCATTTTAACTATGCTACTTTCTTTAAAAATAAATTGTTCGAAAACAATCTAAAAATCAATTTCATTATTTACATAATTGTAATTTTTTACTTTTCTAATGTTGGTGCTTCCTAAATATCTTTTAGGCAATTTTTATAAAACAAATATTTTAAGATTGCCTAAAAGATATTCTTGAATTCTTTTTTTTGTTTAAGAGTACCATGTTTTTTCTTCATTTCCTTATAAAATTAAAATTCTTCATTAATTATAATTATTATTGATTTTATAAAATTATTGCGTTTTAAAGCAAAAATCCCCTATATGAAAAACTGTAAGTAATAATCTAGCGAAGTAAAAAAGACCTTAGGATACAACTACATAATTTCTTTTTTTTTTAAGTAACTTATATCGTCTACATTTTCTCAAAAAATTATACTTTTTCATAGATAATTTCCCTCATTATAATATGAACCAATCAAAAGCCTTGAATTTTCGAATAAATTTCGTTTAAATAAGCGATTAAATCACTAGAACTTTTTAACAGCGATTAAATTTTAGCCTCCATATTGGATTTTTGTTTACGATTTTATGGTGTTATTTACAAGTTTTAACAAACATTTTTTAAAAAACAATAAAAAATAAGTTATTTAGTTTACGAAATATCAATTATTACTTATTACATACCTTAAATTAATGGAATTTTCTTTAAAAAAATATTTATAAATTTTGACACATACGTCAGATTTTATGAATTGTCAAATAGTTTCCTTTAATTCGAGAAATAATCTAGACGTATATCACTCAACCTATAAATTTAATCTGTCAAACTATGCTCAGTAAGTTTTTTATTTGATTTTTCTTTTTGGAAAATAGTTTCATGCAAAATAATTAAAAATAAACAAAAACCAAACAAAAAA